TATTCCTAGAACTAGGGTAGAGGCTAGTCACCGAGGAAGGGATACTGGCCTCCAGCCCAGACAAAAGAACAAATCATATGTTGCTGCAGGTTTGGTGAGCAAGCACCACAGTAGACCAGCTGCCCAGAATAGAGACCAGAGATCAAGACAGCAAGCCCATCTAACACCCAATCCACAGCACCACTTCACCACAAGGAATGTAATCCCTGCTTCCTAACATCTAGGTGGCAGAAAAGGGCAGAGGGAGAAATAGCCACCATAGGGAGTTGAACTTAAACATGGACTGAATGATTTAATTCAATTCTTTCACCACCACCCACCCTATAGGGTAGAGATTCAAGAACCAAACACATCTGTTATAAAAAATAAGCTACATTTTCCTTGCATATTTGAGAATGTGATAATTTTACCCCCCCTAAATGGACACTATATCTGTTTCTGTATTGGCCCCACTGTTTTATGCTTCTTGAAAGCAGGAGCTGCCTCATTTACTGTTGTTTCCCAAGCATCTGGAGTAATACATGGCCCATAATAGGCACTCAAATGTTCATGGAAAAAAACTATGTGAGAATCATACATCCAAGAAGGATTAATGCCCCGAATATATAAAGAACTCCTATAACTCAGCAACAAAATACCAACAACCCATTTCAAAAATGAGCAAAAGACATGAATAGATGTTTCTCCAAAGAAGATGCAGATGACCAATAAGCACATGAAAAGATGTTCAATATCACTAATCATTAAAGAAATACAAATCAAAAACCACAGTGAGATAGCACTTCACATCCATTAGAATGGCTGTTATGAATAACAAAAATAAAAATAGAGAATAAGTGTTGGCAAGGATATGGAGAAATTAGAACCCTTGTGCATTGCTAATGGGAACATAGCCACTGTGGAAAACAGTTTGGTGATTCCTGAAAAAGTTAAATGTAGAATTACCATATGATCCAACAATTTCACTTCTAGGTATATACCCAAAAGAACTGAAAGCAGGGATTCAAACACATACTTGTACACCAATATTTATAGCAGCATTATTCACAATAGCCAAAAGGTGGAAACAACCCAAATACCCATCTAAAGATAAATGGATAAACAAAATGTGGTATAGACATACAGTGAAATATTATTCAGCCCTTAAAAGGAATGAAATTCTGATACATGCTGAAATGAGGAGAGCCTTGAAAACATTATGGTAAGTGAAATAAGTCGGTCAAGAAAGGACAAATACTGTATGATTCACTTATATAAAGTACCTGGAATAGGTAAATTCAGTGACAGAAGAGTAGTGGTTACCAGGGGTGAGGGGGAGAAGGGCATGGGAGTGATTGTTTAATGGAT